TTTAAATTGATGTTTTATGTATTCAGGATTTAATATCTACGTTTAATATGCCTCACATAACTTAGTTACTAAGGTTTTTCTACAAAATTTAGGAATTCCATCCTCTTATAATGTCATCAATGATTTCCATTTCATTATTTTTTCAATTTCTTCTTCTCGTTTATGAGGTCTTTGATTATGACTCCATTGATTCCATGAAATTAATATTCTTTATCATTATATTTATACCTCATTAGCTTATTTTGGCTTTCATTTTCATTTAATAATTCACAATCTTCATTTTTTAAATTGAAGTTTAACCCATTCAGGATTTAAACAATTTTTTAATTAATCGCGGGAATATCTGACATCATCTATATATAGCTTCTTTATAAAAAATAAAAATAAATTATTTTAAAATTAATGTTAATTTTTTAATGATTTATAAATAAATATATTTTAATGCATTGTCTATATATAGTGTAAAAAAAAGTCCACTAAACCCTTCACTTATCCTACTACTAATATTGAACATAATTAATTTGCGCTGTTTCATTGAAAATCTATCATTTATTGATTATTTTTTTCAGGTTTTATACAAATAAGTTGATAAATGAAACATGACTTTTGATAAGTTGGCAATTTTCAAGATCCTCTTTTAAAAAAAACATTGGAAGAGGAACCAAAAATTGATTTATTAATAAAGCAAATGACTCGTGTCAGTGTTAATGTAAATAAAAATATGAAATTGAGAAAATCATAGAATATTTTGACTACTTTCTCTCAATTTTAAATTTTACTAAAACCATTCATCTCCAGTCTTAAAATTCTTTTGCGCATTACCCTGATAGGCTTTCTTGGACTGGACATGGTAGTCGCATTGTTTTGGTCTCTCTTCAATACTTCTATTGCTTTTTTGTTATCCTTGAAATTGCTAATGCGAGTGGAGTTTTTTTCTGTTATTTTCATTGATTCTTTTGCGATGTCCTTTTGTTGGGAGAAGGAGTTTCGCAGATATCAAGCATGGTCATTTGCTGCTGCGAAGTGCAATGGTGTCCAATCTTCTGTTGTTTTAGAATTAACATCGATATATTTTAATGCATATTTGACACCTTCGAGATTTCCATTTTCGCAGATTCTGTGGAGTACTGTATTATTAAAATTATTAGTATCTCTTATTTTTGGCACCGTTATGCTTAAGAGCTTGAACTAAAGCAAGGTTTTCATTATTCTGCTGCACTAATTATGATATTATCCCAAATGAGTTCTTGACCCTGCAGTATCCTTCTTCAATTGATTGTTTTAATTGTATTTTCATCCCCTTCTTGAGCTGCGTATTCGGAGAATTTTGTAAATTTGAAAAAGTTTCTTCTGTTTTACGGCATTGGTGTAGGAGATTCATTTCTAATCACACTGTATTAACTTCTTCATATCTGTAAAGAGAGGTAATTGTAAAAATGCAGCAAATGCATCTAAAATTAATAAAACATCGGAAATATCTGTGCCCCAAGTTCACTTTTATGACTTTTTATCATCGTCATTATATCTTCTTCCATGAAAAAGTTCTTTAACTTTTGAGAATAATATTAAATTGCTTCTCCTGAGAGTTTTGCTAGCTCAAGATTTTGCAAAAGTCGTATCTTGTTACGCAATTCATAAAAAATCGTCGTTCTGATACCAAGCTTCAATGTTTTTAGCATAGTATTCCAAGTCAATACTCATTTTTCTAATTTACGACTTTGCCCAGAAATCTTTTTATCTTTGATTTGAAGATTTGCAAAGTCTGATGTTTTTTTAAGCAAAGTTAGATTCATCATATTGTATTTTTGCAAAAATTTGTAAATTTTTGAAGAATTTCACAGGAAAAAAAATTAGTTATATTGCCACTGTTTGCAGATGCTCAATTTCTTGCACTTTTGAATGCTTGTTTCATATGATATAGTGTATTTTTCTGTGAATAATCCTTTATTGCGATACAAAATTTATTATTTGTACCTCTAATTCCTAATTTAAAAAACAAGTCGGAAAAAGATGTGACGGCTAAAAATTTACTTTGAAGAAAGATTTACTAATTTTTCATTTTATTTTCTTATACATGGAAGAAAATTAGTTAGCCAATTTGATTTTAAAACAAGGCGTTACTTATTGAAGATTCAATGATTTGATCTAAAAATTATCTTAGAAAATCATCTCATTTCTATCTTGACAACAAGTAGGTTTAATCATGAGATTATGCTGTCAATAGTTGATTTTCATTTTAAAAAATATGATAAATTTAGAAACAAACAAAAAAAATTTAGAAAAATTTCAAAAAACAAAAATAGTCAAAGTAAACAAAATTGACTTAATATCCTTCTAATGGCATTGCGAGCCTCTCATTCATCATTGCTTCATATCAGATAAGATTGTATTATTGATAAATTCATAATGGCATTAAAATCGAGACAAATGAGTAAATATTGAAGAAAACTCTTCCGCGCACATTCCTTCTGCTACAACTTCCACATATCTTGCGTTGGCCCTAAAGAAAGACAAATTCGCAAAATATTGGTTTCCTCTTCTTGCAACAATGGAATTTATATCTGTATGTAGCCAGTCGAAGTCCGTCTCCTTACGAAAACCTGATTGGTACGCAATACTCTCTAAATTCGCTGGAAATCCGACAATGACTCTTCTTTGTTTCAAAAGTGACACTTTATTGTCTTCGATCAAAAAGTCTCTCGTATGGACTTCCTATCGGGTGAGCCGCCGGTATCGCTGCATCCAGAGGATCGACTCTTTACCGTACGTATTATTTCGGCGAATGCTTTGATTCTTGATGAGCATCTGAATATAATGTTTTTAATTTTCGTGTCTGGGATCCTATTGACTGTACAGTATCTTCTTTCGTACTCTGAAGCTTCGACGGACTTGGTAAACAAGCATCGGTAAGGTGATGGTAAATGTATCATCGGGAAGATGATGACGAAAAGTGGGTGTATTTTTATGTCCTTGATGGTAATTCGATTCTGTGGATTAGGAGTAAGTATTTGTAGATTGAGTCGTCTGCATCAGGAGAGATGTTCGGAGGTACAATTCGC